AGATCTGGGCAACTCATGGATTACACTGCTTTTTAATTCTAGGGAGACAAATAAGAGAATGGAAAATTATGACATAACTGCTATAATAGGAGTAAGACATTTTTGTGATAATTTTGTTGAAGTATTGCCACAACATACTCCTTAAAAAAGAGCATTGTTTTTCCAGAGAAATAAGCTTTGAGTTCCAATAAATACTGTGCCAATAAACATTATTTGTTGCATGAGCCTTATTTGTTGAAATGCTATGGGGCCACTATTTCAAAGAGTATCTTCATAGCAATATTGCTTTTGGGAACATTTAAAAATATGAAATATAGCGAATTTAAAAACTAAAGCTCATATGTTTAAATAAGCATTATCAAATCATCCATATTAATTTCAAAGTATAAATACATTATTGGACTTTTAAGTATTAATAATTATGCCAATTTATCATTATATAACTCACAGAAGGGTAGCTGACCTGTGGTGAACCATAATTTACACTGTTAAACTTAATAAATCACATTTTTCTGAGAAAATAAAAAGGAAAGTTGATTTTATAGAAAGAATATGTTGATCCTTAAATTGTTGCCAAGAATAGATGAAACACATTCAAGCTGGGATAAAAAGAGTACAAGAGGCATGCAAGAGTACATTGAGTATAATAAATTCTATTTTGAGGGAAACTCCCTGAGAAATCATCCACTGATTAACTAGAAATCATGTCTGTATATGCCTTTGCTGCTCTTATTAAAAATAGACTCTCTTCTTTCAAGATTTCTAGTACACTGAAAATATTCTTAGAAAGACAGTTGCTTAATAGGCATTGCTCTATAGATGCTTTCAAAGTGAGTTACTAAGAAGATTTCTTTAAATTTAGTAGGAATTATTTAAAACTATCAATGCAGAAGTCTTGAGAAATTCAGAGAGCAATGCCATTTAGAATGTGAACGGTATTGGTTTTTTGTTTTTGTTTTTTTAAAACCTAGGCTAACAATTAGATTCCACACAGGGCTTCACAATGGTGTCACTGCAATTTCAGGAATACAGCTTAGGAGAGAGCAGATGCTTTATATGTCTGAGGCTTTGGATTTCATCACAGCTACGTCAAATTTGAAAAACTAAATTAGCTACAAGTAATACTTTCCATGACTTAGTGGCTATGTGAACCTGGATAGATTGCATAACCTTGCTATATCTTAGTTCCCTTATTTGTTAAATGATTTTCTTCAGCAACTAGATCTAATGTTAAAACACATAGCTCAATCGGAGGCTCTATAATTTGCATTTGTTATCAAAATACAAAGTAAGAAATGTAAATATAAGCTAAATAGCCCTCATCATAAAAGAGAGAAATGAAGTTGAAAATTTTAATCTAAGGAATTAATTGAAAATTAATATAACTTATATATGTCTGAAAAAGATTCCTCTGTAACTTTCTCTTTGACCTATATCAGAGGAAGATGAACCCCACATGCTGGGGAGATAGGTGATCCAGCAAAGATAGTTCCACATCAAGAAGTACTTTGTTGTGGTACAAAATAGTGTTGTATTTTGGATCCTCTCAAAAAGTTGTACTTAAGAGACTTGATTTTATTTTGAGGTAAGCTGCCTGCATAATCCTGGCAATAGAAAACAGAGTGATAAGTATCCTACATTCAGTAGGATTTGTCAGACATTATTAGAGGCCTTATAAAGATGTCAGATCATTTATTCTCAAAATGTCTCCATTTTTTTGAAGACATCATTCACCTCTGGCTTCTAGTTGAAACCCTAATTGAGCAAGTCAACTCAGTTATCTAAAGGATAATTTTACAATAGTTCTTCACCTTAGAGCAGTAATTCTCAGACTTTAGTCTACATCAGAATCATCTGATAGACTTGTTAAAACACAGGGATCCGGCCGGGCACGGGGGTTCATGCCTGTAATCCCAGCACTTGGGGAGGCCAAGGTGGGCAGATTATGAGGTTAGGAGATTGAGACAATCCTGGCTAACATGGTGAAACCCCATCTCTACTAAAAAAGTACAAAAAATTAGCCAGGCATGGTGGCGCATGCCTGTAGTCCCAGCTACTCGGGAGGCTGAGGCAGGAGAATCACTTGAACCCGGGAGGCAGAGGTTGAGAGAATCACTTGAACACGGGAGGCAGAGGTGGAGAGGTTGAGCTGAGATGGTGCCACTGCACTCCAGCCTGGGTGACAGAGCGAGACTCTGTCTCAAAAACAAACAAACAAACACACAAACAAACACCACAGGGACCCCAACTCCAGAGTTTTTATTCCATTGGTCTGAAAGGGCCCCAGACAATTGCATTTCTAAAAGTCTCCAAGTGATGCTGCTGCTGCTGATCTACTGCCTTAGAGAATATCTAGGAAATTATAATGCTTAGTACAATTAATTTTTACCAGTATTTATTTTTTCCCAACTTAAAATGATTGCTGTCAAAGTTATAAAACTTTGAAGCTTAAGGCATTCATTTATTCATGAATCGAAGTAAAACCAAAATTTAAAAAGAAATCCCAGCTATACCTATAGTATTCCTTTGGTCCATCCTTCTTTAACAAATTTCTGTCAGGTTTCTATAACAAGAATCACGGCTATTGCTTCTAAGACATTTGTCTTTATTGTATGAACAATATAAATCATATAACTGATCAAGTTTCCCTTTCTGTCTTTGCTGCTTGTTAGGAAGCTCAGGGTAGACATATAGTCCACATGTAGCGGGTATGTAGGATCTTACACTATGCTTTTTTTTTTTTTTCACAGACTTTACTTCTGGAGTTACCTTGTTTTAAGCTGACTTTATTTTCTCTTCATCTTTTCTTCATTGACAATATTATTGAGACTATTATAAGTATTTTTATAAATCATCTACATTCCTTCCTGAAGTATAGTAAAATATAAACCAACAAACAAATTTGTGTTATCTGAAGACATATTTACAAAAAATTTAATATCTTATTTTATCAGGACTTTATGCTTTGGCCTCTGGATTATATAAGGTGAACAGATGAGAGACTACAGCATAAAAAAACCACAAAGGGTCAGGTGTGTCTATTTAGTTCTAGGCAAAAATACAAAACAAACAAACGAAAAACACAGATATCATTTCTGATATCCAACTCAAATAGTTAGGAATGTATCTAAAATATTATAGCATTATAGAACTATTTTCTATACAATTCACTGTGCCCGTTTGAAGTTATTCATATTTTCATCTTAGTGAAAAAATTTTGGAAATTTAGAACCTATTGAGTAAAGCCAAGGCTATTTTAATTTGTCTTAAATTTACTTTCATCTAGCTTTAGTCCTGTGACATTTCCAGTATATCAGAATTCTGTGATAAATAATTTTGTATGCACCATGTTGGTAATAATGTAATCTGGGGAAGAGACTAGTAATTTAGAAGTAGATGCTGATGTTAAGAATCTCTGCCTTCTCTATGTTGTCTTATTGAAGAAGCTAGAAACTGGTACATATGTACATACCTGCTACATATGTATACCCAACATAGCCACTCATGCTTTACTTAATTAGTACTTGAGGTTATGAAGGGATGTAATGTAATAGAAACTGAAGATTTTATAAGGATAAAACAGGCCTAAGTTTTAAAAAATCCAAATTGCTTTTCTCTATTACACAGAGACCACAAATATTACAACTATAATGATTCAATTACTAAGTCATAGAGCATACAACAGCTACATGTTATGAGTAAAGTTTACTATTTTAAGTCTTTTATTAAATCTTCAATAGCTATATCAGAACAAAGTATTTTCATGACTTTGACCATGAATAATATCAAGAAACTAAAAATGTCTTGAATATAAAAAGGTAATGGAGTACAAGAAAAGTGAAATAGGCCAGGTGCAGTGGCTCACGCTTGTAATCCCAGCACTTTGGGCTGAGGCAGGCACAAGGTCAGAAGTTCGAGACCAGCCTGGCCAACACAGTGAAACCTCGTCTTTACTAAAAATACAAAAATTAGTTAGGCATTGTGGTGCATGCCTGTAGTCCCAGGTACTTGGGATGCTGAGGCAGGAGAATCGCTTGAACCCAGGAGGTGGAGGTTGCAGTGAGCCGAGATTGCACCACCACACCACTGTACTCCAGTCTGGGCAACAGAGTGAGACTCCATCTCAAAACAAACAAACAAACAAACAAAAAAACCCAACCAATCAATACCTTATTTCCTCCCTTGGTAGACCTCATACTTCAACTTATTCTCAAAAAGTAGTTAAAAAAAGATTCATACTAAAAGACTTTTTAACCTCTAACAGCGCTTCATGAATATATACAGATGCTGTTTGCTTCATGATGGGGTTATGTCCCAATGAACCCATTGTAAGTTGAAAATGCATTCAATACATCTTCCGAACATCACAGCTTAGCCTAGCCCACCTCAAACATGTTTAGAACACTTGACATTTGCCTACAGTTGGGCAACAATCATCTAACTGAAAGCCTATTTTATAATAAAGTATTGAACAGCTCATGCCATTTATTGAATACTGAAAGTGAAAAACAGAATGGTTGTATGAGTACTTGATATATGGCTTCTACTGAATGTGTATTGCTTTCACACTATCCTAAAGTCAGAAACTTGTAAGTTGATCCATTATAAGCCAGGCACCATTTGTATTTTGATCCAATAATTCAGTAATAAACTAGATTCAATTAAAATACTATAAAATGGGAAAAAATCTATATGAAAGAAAACCATAAGATCATTTAAGTTCTTAAACATTTTTGAGGGGCTATAGATTTTACAAAATGAAAAATTCTGAAAGATTTGTCCTTCAGATGTTTAATCTTTTGTATTTTATAATTTTTTTTTAAGTAAGGCAAATTCTATTGCTAACAGCTGTATACAAACACATAAATTTTAGCACTTAATAATATCATGGGGCCATGGCATTATATGTTTGTGTCTGACTAATCTGCATTTAGTAGTTTGAAAGAATCTGTTTCATATGATTGATTATTTTACAACTTTTAAAAAGAAAAATGTCTTGCCTTCGAATGGTAATCTTGTTCCAGTCTGGTATCTGATCCGGCTACCTGTTTGTATTTGTTAATTTTCATTTGGCGATTTCTCTCCTCTATATCCATAGTACCTATCGAGTAGAAAAAAACCCATAAAATTAATGTTCAGTTCTTATTTCTGAGTCGGACTTACAGGATGTATAAAAGAAGAAATGCTAGGCTGGTATATTACTTTCACTCAACATAGCATGTACAAATTAAATGTCATATAATTTTGAAGATTTATTTAAAGCATACAATTTGGTAAGTAAAAACATGATGTAAATATGTAAAATAATTTCAATCTGAATAAAATATAAAGTTTAAAGAGAAGATAACAAATCTTCATTAAATAGAAAACAATTTCTGGTACGTGTATGTCCGGAATATATTTAACTGCACAGAAATTTGACAATAGTAATATCATGTGAACTTTGACTTTTAATTCATCATGATTTATTTATAGGTATTAAAGTTATAAGTTGCTTTCAAATACAATTTTAGAACTGCATTTAGAAACTATTATCATAAAATTAGGCTATATATTGAAGCAGTTTGCCCCAGCATATGTGTGAATCCAAATATCAGAAACTTTTGAATTTGAATTTTCTAGAACTAGGATCAACAACGAGGTTCTTGTAATAATACTGCTGATAGCATACCATGTCAGTAAAGGCACAAAGTATGACTGAAATCAATTTTATAAAAAAATTAGAATATAAAGAGTTAAGAAAGTGAGATGGCAAGCCTCTTACAGAAAGACATTAACACCCTCTATAACAGGTGCTACCCTCAAAACACATCAGTTGTAAATATTCGGAAAGTCTTCAAAAATTTGGGTTAGAACAAGAACTAAATTCAGTTAGCAAATTCTAGAAAACATGAAAAAGCATTTTGAATGTATATTTATGGGGCAGGCACAGTGGCTTATGCCTATAATTCCAACACTTTGAGGGGCTGAAGCAGGAGGATTGCTTGAGACCAGGAGTTCAAGACCATCCTGGGCAACATAGCGTGACCCTGTCTCCACAACAACAACAACAAATTAGCTAGGTGTGGTGACACATGCCTATAGTCCCAGTATCCTGGGAGGCTGAGGCTGGAGGATTATTTGAGACCAGGAGTTGGGAGGCTGCAGTGAGCTATGATCACACTACTGCCCTCCAGATTGGCCAACACAGTGAGATCCCATCTCAAAAAAAAGTATATTTATGATTTTTAAAAGAAAGATTTATAGGAATATTCAATTTCTCATAAATATATATAATTTAAAAATCTCGATCATATACTACAAATCTACATACTGGGAAAAATGAGCTTAGCGAACTCAACTGGATATCCATAATAAAATGTCAGTAAATTCACACAGTGTATTTAGGTAGGAATGTCAACATACACACACATACCCCTTGCTTAAGATCATGACTTTAAAACTGCAGTAAAGACAACTAGATGTAAGTGTGCCTATTAAAAAACAGGTATGTTAATACTTACCTGATTTTTTAAATCGAGTAAAGGAAAAGAGGATTAAGAAGGTACCAGTATAACTAGAAGTTATGGTATCCCCTCTTGAGCCAATATTTTAAAATTTTTAATATTTTAATGTTTTAGTATTACTCTCTGCCTTGCAAAAATCTCATTGCATATTAGATAGTTCTTGTTAGCAACAAATTTTAAAGGAAAATTGGTTAATTAAAATAATTTGAAAAGGGAAGAAAATGTTTCAAAAAGAAAACCTTAGATAAATATACAAAAGAACTTATACTATATTACCTCTAAATACCAGCAAATTTAAATCAACTATTTGATAAAGTGAGACAATTTCTTCCTTGTAATAGTCACATGTTAATAATGATTTGAGTAATTGACTCTGAGTCAAATTTGAAAGTGAGGAATATTAATGCTAGGTTAATATAATTTGAATGACATATAAAACCAGGTGAGTGCCTCCATGATGTAAATGTGAAATATAGTCAAATACAAATATCTATTAGTCTATTAAAATACGACTTTGGAATCCTTTATACTTCAAAAGATACTTTCAGGTAAACATGTTTTCTCCAAAGGCAAGCCAATTAAAAAAAAATGAGCCCAACATTACAAAGTTATGGGTCCTAAAAGAATATCAGCTAAAAGGTGTGTTTGGAAAGTTTCTCAAAAAGTTTCATGTTGATATAATATAAATAGCACCAACTGACAAGTTTAAACACACACACATATAGATATAAATATGTAGGGATAAATATATACATAGAAACAGGTATATAAATTTTCCAATATTTAAACTATTTTCTGGATGGCAACATCCTAGAAAAGCTACATTAAAATTCCTTCTGATTACTAGGTAGTAATGTGAATAACACTGGCAGTAGCTGGCAAACTTTTTCTGTAAAGGGCCTAATAACAAATATTGCAGACTTTGTGAACCACATGAAAACTGTTACTCTGCCACAACTCTGCCACCTTAGCATGAAAGCAACTGCAGATAATGCATACATAATAAGTGTGGCTTTATTCCAATAAAACTTTGTTTACAAAACAGGTAGTGAGTCAGATTTGGTCTCTGGCATATTGGTTTAACAGTGCTTGCAAAAGTGTCTTTCTATTTAGAAATGGTTTAAAAATTAGGTAGATTTATACAATATAACTTTTATTTAACAGACCACTGGCAGATCTAAGGAGAATATTCATCTGTATTTGCTGGATAAGCAAAACAAGATGCAAACAGAGCTTTCTAACCATTTAAATATGTTATCAGTTAAATTACATTCTCAAACAAATCTCTCATCTCCAGACCCAATCATCATCTATAGACAGTTCCCAAATGGGAAAATTCTTCATTGGAGTCTTAACCAATGAAATCTCAAAGGACTACTTTAGTCAGCAAACTTGAGTAAATATCCTTTTACCTTATACCTTCAAATCCTCCTAGGAGAATAAAACCCTTGGGGCAAACAGTAACCAAACAGGTCTCCCTACCCAAAAATTATTTGGTTCATATGAAGTCTTCTGTTCCTTTTCTATATTTGTAGAAGCTATTCCCAAAAAGAAAACACTCCATGTAGAATAAAAACCTTAGAGAGAAAAGTCTCCTATTGATAAAGTCATCCAGCATAGAGGATTCTTCACCAGCAAGGTGATTTTTCTTTGCTGGTCCTTTGCTCTATCTAAGAAAAATAATCCAGTAATAATATTTTGATTTCAACCAAACTTAGTCTTTCTCCCTTGGAATGAAAAGCAATTTAGAGAAATCAATAAAATAGAAGGGCTGTTCACTAGTTGAGGAAAGGACCACATAATTCCTAAACTTTGTTTCAGCTCTGATATACTATATACATTCTATAAAAGGAAAATAAATGAAAGTGATGAAGTGAATGAATTTTGTTCAATTTCCTCTCTCTCTCAGATTCACAGTAAAAATCTGTACTTGCAAGGCCCTCAAAAACCTATAATAAAGAATAACCACTCAACCACAGAACACTTACCTTTTTTCTCCATCTGTTAATATTTTGCTGAAATAATTTCAAACTTTCCAAAATAAAAATTTTGAAAAATGCCAGTTTATAGGTTTAGAAAGTAAGTTTCTCTTGGAATCTCTAAGATTCATTTTCTTATATGTGAAAATGCTTATTTCAGAAGACTTCTTAGTGGTTTGGTATGGTTTTGTAATTCAAGTATGCTTAAAAAATTAGGGTAATTATATCTTAGAAATCAAATCAAATACCAAGATATTTTCAAATTGTAAAAAAATTTGATTAAGATGGTAATGGGACAACCCAATTTCGTCCACAAATACATTTACAATGACAGTTTCTACATGTTTGTAAATATATATAAATGTAATAATATAATATAATAATCTGTTAATGTATAATGTATTAAACTAATATTCAAGTTATCTCAAATTCTTTTTGATATAAGTAAATTATTAACTAAATAGAGAAAATATAATTTCTTGTTTCATAAATACCTTGTTTCATAAATACTACAGTTGATTTAAATTATGCTGGAAATGGCCCTCTGTTTTTTGATATGTATATATATAAATACTCCTAAATTCCATACGTGTTAGAATTCCTACTTAATAAATGACATTTTACACAAAACTTTTCTTCCTTTCCCTTAATTTATAGTAATCTCCTTCCTTAAATTATAAAAGATTTTTATCCTACTTTATAAATTTTAAGGCAGAGCACAAAAAACAGACAGTATATGTGGATGTTCTGGAATTAATAAATATCTCAAAATATTCATTTTTTAAATTGGAAACTTCTGGCCCATTTTCAGCCACTGACTTAAAAAATCCAATATTTTGTTGTTCTTGATTTAACTTATTTCCTTAAATCATATCACATATTCTGTAGCTATTTATTTTGATACAAGGCTTTGAAGAGATTTACTTGTTCTTAAATAAAAAATTAACTTTATAGTTATTTTGAACTTTAAAAAGCTATTTAATGTACCCGGAAAGTTAAAGTTATACTGATAAAGCTGCTATGGCATCCAATATAAAAAAAAAGTTAATTTATAGGTGGATTTTTAAAATCAAAGATATAGTTGAATATGGCCACATTAGCTGGCAGCCAGCTAGTGGTTGTTTAGGTTTTACTACATGCACACACTACAAAGATCATCAGTATACTTTCAGTGATTTCTGTAGTATGCAAACAGTAATCGTTTTAAGTTTGCTTTTCCAAACACACACACACTCCCCCACACACAGAAAGACAGAGAGAGAGAGAGTGAAAGAGCGTGAGCATGCCCCTGGAGTCCCAATGCAATTTCATACCCCAAACTTCTTTGAAGTAAGGGCACAGGTTTAGCAGTGACGTAATCCACAAGCAAGCTGAACAGCGACCAGAATATGGCAGGATTGTTGACTCAGTCATCCATCTTGAAATCTTAAACAAAATGCTCAAATCCAAGGATCTTAAGAGGGAAAACTCTTAAGCCCAATATGAAAACTCAAGAAAGAACCCCAAACTTCAGGAAAAAATTAGAAATTTGCAATTATAGACATCTTGGAAGTCAGAAATGGCATTGATTAGTACTTCAAATTCTTGTGGATAATTTAGTGATTTAAAAACATTCC